CAACAAATAAGTAGTGCTAACTTAAAAAAAAAAAAAAAAAAAAAAAACTTTTAAAATCAAACCAAATGGTGCCAGGCAGGCATTTTTGTTCATTCAGTAAAGCTCTCTTGCCTACCTACTTTGCTCTGCGCCCTGGCTGGGCTCAGAGGGTGTCCAGTACTGAGCATATCAGGCAGAGGAGTGCTTTGGAGGAGCTCACAGCCACTCTGCTCCTGGTACCTTATTCTTGGTGCCAGACAAATAGATTTTTTTCAAGGAGCTTGTGTTTCCCCAAGGGCCTCTCATCAATTGAGCCTGCATAATCTTACCTGATGGGATAGGGAATAACTCAGCTTTTGTGTAGCCTGACAGTCCCACGTTAAAGCTGCTTTATTCTCACCCTCTATCCTGGCTTGTTTGTTTTCACCTGTGTCTGTCTGTTTTATCCCATTCACAACTTTTGGTGGTCTCCTTTTGTCTTCCTAAGAGCTTGAAATTACAAGAGATTCTGTTTTTTCCTTTTGGCGACCACTTCCCTTGTTTTCATAAAGTTGCTGGGCTAGTTTTTAGCCACACAGATAAACAGGTTTGAAATGCCTGTCACTGGGGAATTTACCCCCAGGGCTTGCTGTATCTGTGGAGGTAACATATCAGCCTGTTTGCTATTTGGGTGAGCTTAACTTGAACTGTTTGCAAACCAGTGAGACAAGCTTTATATGTTTGTGTTTAAGAAAATTTCAAGCCCTGGCAGGATACTCAGTTTATTAATTCAAATGTGATTCTGAAGGTCCTTAGGTATAGCTAATAAGACATTTTGAGAAATTATGAATTTGTGCCTTGGCTAATGTGGCCTGGTAGTTGGTTGGAGCATTGTCCCATAAACTGAAAGGTCATGGGTTCGATTCCTAGTCAGGGCACATGCCTGGGTTGTGGGTTAGGCGCCTGGTCAGGGCACATATTAAGCAGCCAATCAATGTTTCTCTCTCGAATCGATGTTTGTCTCCCTCTCCTCCCCTCCTCCGTTCCCCTCTCTCTTTAAAATCAACGAGCGTGTTCTCAGGTAAGGACCATTTTAAGTCATAATTCTTTTTCTCCTTGATTGTGTCAAGACTCTGTCCTTTTATTTTGCTTCATTCACTCAGCAACTATTTATTAGGTACCAGCTGTGAACTGAGCATCATTTAAGTACCGGAGATAATGTAGAAAAATAAGATAGATATAGTCTTGGCTCATGCAGAATGTATCATTTGATGGGAGAAATAGGAAAGTAAATAGGAAATTCCACGTGTGACATGTTTCAAGTACTGTGATGGGATTTACATGGAATGTCTAGATTATAATGTAACACCAATGGCAGGCACCCAACCCATATTTGAGACATCAGGGAAGGTGTCCCTGAAGAAGTCAGCCAAAGCCCAGAATTGAAGTATTATTTGGGGTTACTCTAGGATAAGGAAAGGAAGAAGCTTATCCTAGCAGAAGGCACAAATGACATTTGCCAAGCTCTGGGAACTAGAAAAGTATTGATAGGACCCCCCCCTCACACTCCTCCCAATTTTTTTTCCCTATATGGTTAGGTTGCAAAGGTAGAGAGGCAAAAATGGCTGGACAAGTGAGTCAAATTAAGCAGAACATTGTAAATCAGGCTAAGGGGTTTAGATTTTATTCAGAAAGCAATAGGGAGCCATTAATCTCACAACATCACATGATTAGATTTGTATTTCACAACAGAGAGTTAAGAAGGGGGAAGATATGAGCAAAGAGATTGGGTGAGAGGCGGACAGTATCTAGGCAAGAGATAATAGCAGTTAGACCTGGGGTGGCAGCAGTGAGGATGGAGAGAAGCCTATTCAACAGATACCACGGAGGTAGAAACAGCAATATTTACCGTCGACTATATGCATGGGGGGTTTCAGGCTTTGGAAGTTGGGTGGGTAGTTAAGTGTCAGTTGAGCAGGTGCCAATCACTGAGAGAAGAAAAAAGGTGTAAGGCATAGATTTGATGTTAACTTTAGAAGTTTTTCCTCTCTGGCTAATATTATTTATCTATTCATACCAGTCAACTGACATTTACATAGTGTTGTGCTGTGTATCAAGAGAGATGCAAGGAAGTATAGATACGGTTCCTTCCCTATAGATATTTGTTCTCCAGTTGAGGTTAAAAGGTTCACATTTAGTGAATGCCCATTGGGTAACCAGGTTTCTACTCTCTAGTCTAGTCTATTTTCTATTGTCTTTTAAAGAGTTTAGGAGTTTTAATTTTTACTTCTAAGTCTTGAATTCACTGGAATTTAACTTTGTGCATAGTAGAAGGTTGGGATCCAATTTTAATTTTGTCTGGATGGATAATTAGTTATCGTAACACATATGATTTTCATAGTACTATCATCTTACCTCTTTCGTAAATCAAGTTTTCGTGTGTGTGTGTGTGTGTGTGTTGCTATGCTTTCTATTTCATTGGCCTATTTGTCACCAAACTGTTTTCATTACTACAGTTTTGTATTTCTAGCTACCTAATTGTATGAGTCCTACAACTCTATTGTTTTTCAGTGTTTTTTTTGCTACTCTTGTTTGGCCCTTCCTCCATATATATTTTAGAATCTGATTGTCTGGTTATACACAAAACTATTACTATTTTTAATGGAATTTCATTGAATTTGGGGAGAATTTCACCTTTATAATATAAATATAATCTGTCCTATTTAAGGTTGATGTCTTTTCTTATGGCATCTCTCTATTAAAACTATAATACACCAATATAAAAAAAAAATTTGGCCTCTAACTCACACCTTATTTCAGATGGATCGTAGAATTCAACATTAAAGCTATAACTATTAAATTTGTAGATGAAAACAGTATCTTTTTATTGTTCAGATAGGCAAAGATTTCTTTGGTCATAGAAAGCATGAATCATAAAAGAAATAAATTGACCCAATTATTGGACTCTATCAAAAATTAAAAACCCCTGTTCATCAAAATACATTAGGAAAATAAATGGGCAAACCACAAACTCAGAGAAAGTACATGCAATACATATATGGTAAAAGAAATAGGCAACTTAATTTAGAAGTGGGCAAAAATCTTGAACAGATCCTTTGCAAAAGTCCTTTCCAGTGACCAGTGCACATGAAATATGTTTAACATCATTAGTCATCACAGAAATGTAAATCAAAATCCCAGGGAGACACCACTGCATACCCACTAGGATGGCTAAAATGGGAAAAAGAAAGGCAGTAGCAAATGTTGGAAAAAATGTAGAGCCACTAGAACTCTTCTTGTTCTTGGGAGGGTAAAATGCTATAGTAACTATTTTGGAAAACTCTCACAGTTTCCTAAAATATTAAACATGCTGCAGTTTTATTCTTACATATTTATTTAGGAGAACTGAAAACATGTGTCCACAAAAAACATATGAATGTTCATAGCAGCTTTATTCATCATAGCCAAGAAGTGGAAACAATCCATGTCTGTCAAGAGGGGAATGGATAAACAAACTTGTGTATTCATACAATGGAATACTACTCAGCAAACACAGAATCAAGTTCTTGATACATCGAATAACGTAGATGAATCTCATAACCTTTATGCTGAGTGAAAAAAAAAACACACACACAAAAAATTATACAATGTATTATTACATTTATATGAAATTGTAAAATAGACAACCGAATTGTAGTGATAGAAATCAAATCATGATTGCTTTGAGGATTGGGAGCTGACTGGGAAGGGGCACAAGGGAACTTTCCAAGATGATGGAAATTTTCTGAGTCTTCATAGAGGTATGAATTACATGACTGTATGCATTTGTGAAAACTGCCTGAATGTACACTTAAGACTTGAGCATTTCACTGTGTGTAAAATATACTGCAGTTTTTAAAAATACACGATATTTTGGGTCTCCATTAATAGAAGCATATATCTAGAGTTAATAAGGGGGAACAAGTTAAGGAATATTTATGCCACTCCTTCAGAGTAGTTCTTTAGTAGTTATGGAGACAGAGTATTTAACTAAATGCTGTATTTAGTTTGAGCTTTTTTGGTCAGTTGTCCAGTCTGAGGAACTATTTTCAGGATCTTATCAGAGTTTAAGAGCGGTGTTCATAAAGATGGAAAAAAGGTGATCCTCACAGGTGCTAGCTGGGACTGGATCCCCAGAACCTCACACACCCAGTTCATACTAATGATAACCATACCCAGACCAGTGGGTCTCAGCTAGGACTCGCCACCGCCCCCACCCCCCACCCCTGGGTATATCTGGCAATATCCAGAGGCATTTTTGATTGTCTTGACTGTGGGGCAATGTTGTACTACTACTATCTACTGGGTAAAAGTTATGGAGGCTGCTAAACATTCTACAGTGCACAGGGACAGCTCCCTGTCACACAGAATTAGCTGGTCATTGGTGCCAACTCTGAGAAACCTTGTTCTAGACCCTCCCTTATTTATGAAGCTGAGCCAGTCACAGTCAGCCAGGTGTTGACTACATTCATAGTCCAAATTAATTGTTAGAAACTTGGCATTTCTACAAATTATCTATTTTTCCTGACAGAATTTGATATCAAATGTTTATAAATATACATAATCTTAAATTTTGAGATAAAATTCCACATGTAAAGAGCACTTTGCAAATCAAAATTAAATATATTGTTCCTGCTGATTATTAAATTCTTCAGATGAAGATTTTGTTCTTAATATTATTTCATTAAATATCTAAATATAGTATGGTGATTACCAGAGGGAACTGGGGTGGAGGCAGGTATCAGAGGGTCAAGAGGGGATAAATGGTGAACGCAGGAGACTAGGCTGTGGGCGGTGAACACACAATACAGTGTACGGAGGACGTGTTACAGAATTGCACTCCTGAAACCTATTTAATGAACCAATGCAACCCCAATAAACTCAATATAATATATATAAAAATAAATAAGTATCCAAATGAAAATAAAGAGGTTTTATCAAACTAGAGGAAATAAAGTATAGTAATTTCTCTCTCTCTCTCTTTTTTTTTTTTCTCTTCACAGAATGACGGGGAGTGAGTTTTTCTCTCGTTTCCCAGAACTCTATCCTTTTCTTCTCAAACAGTTAGAAGCTGTAGCCAATACTGTGGACAGGTAAGAAAAGAATACGGTAGGGCAAAGTGAAATCAAGGATGTGAATTACTTTATTAATTGAGATTTTTCCCAACAGTTTTTAATCAATTCCTTTCTTATAATGTAGATGGATTTTTTTAAAGTGCTTCTTTATTACATCATGTTGCCTGAGTCTCTGTAGTAAATTTATACCTGAAAAGTTGTATAAAATTCTGGTTTTATATTATATTTTTAAAATCCTGTTTTATATTAAATTTTATCAAATTTAATCCTCTTTTCAGTGTTAGGTAGGAACTAGCCTCTTAGAAGCATGTCGTGATTTCTTCTGTTAAGAATCACCGCACTGTTGTGTCAGTGAGTTTCTCTCTCTCTTTTTTTTTTTCTTTTTTGAGGATATAGGCAGGGTAAATGGTAATGGACAGAGACTTGACTTGAGGTGCTGAACACACAGCACAGTGTCTGGATGATGTGTTGGAAAATTGTGTACCTGAAACCTGTATAATTTTGTTAACCAGTGTCACCCCCCCAAAAATTCAATAAAAAGGAAAAACATTAATTTTCTATTATATTTAAAAATGTACATGCTTACATATTGGATTTACTGTAATGCACACCTGGGGCGGGGGGTGGTGGTGTTTTACTGGCCTATTGCAGCTGACTAATGGGAAATGACAGCAGTCAGCTGACTAACCTGGTCACCTATGATGAGAAATGGTTCTGGCCTGTCTGAGCAAAGATGGCCAGTGGCCCCAGAAACAAAGCCCCAGTCTAATCAGAGCAAAGAGAGAAGTTCACTATTGTTCTTCCAATCACATTCTGTAGCTGGTGGTCTAATTGTTAGTATGGGCATCTAGGTATATGCACTTTTTTATTCTTCTAGAATTTGGTATGAATTTATACTAGTCTGTGATGGAAAAATAAAATAACATCAGTGAATTTTACTTCTGTTTATTATGCACTTCTTCATTAGTAACTTGTGCAGACAGGCTTTTCTGGCCCTGGTAAGTGACTGTTCATGCTTTCTAAAGTACATTTGGATGTTGAAAGTTTCACATTTCATTCTCTGGAACAGGCACCTGTGTTGTGTGAACAGCTCAAATAAAAACAGCAGACTCAAATTATTACGTGATACGTTTTCAGAAAAGAGTTGTGTGCAAAAGCCCAATCCACAGCTTTGGCAGTAGTTCTTCCTCATTTACACATCAGGAATATATGAAGTGAATGGAGGAAAAAAATGAAAAAAAGGAAAACTATCCCTTAATCAGAGAGAGTCTCTCTTTAGATACATAATTGATGAGAAAAAAATGGTTGAAGATAGTGCTTTACCTCTTAAATTTTAAATCTGTTATGTACAATGATTTTTTTTCTTTCAGTGATATAGGAGAACTAAACCGTCATCCGAGCATGTTTCTCTTACTTCTGGTGTTGGGGAGACTCTACCCTTCCCCGATGGATGGCACCTATTCTGCTCTCAGCATGGCGCCTTTCATTCCCTTCATTATGAGGTAATGTATGCTTCATGGAAACGATGGGGGTAGCTGCTGGGGGCTTTATGGAGGAACTTATCTTGTTCTTATTTCAGAAATTATAGATTATTTTTAACTTTGGGAGGTATCTAGTGAAGGAAGGGAATAGGTGGTATTGCCAATGTCCCCAACTGGCCTCTAGTATTTCAGAGAAAAGTGCTTATGTTGTGGGTGTAGGAGCTCGTACCTACTGTTTAAGAATGTTCCCTTGGAGCCCTGCCTGCCAGGGGATGTATTGTGTTGATAGGAGATGCCCACTTTTGAAAAGTATAGCCTGGCTGTTGCATTACCCATGTGTTGAGCTTGGCCAACATGGGGCAGGCTTGGTATTGGCATATATCCCCTGTCCAGGGCTTCAAGAGGACTTCTGGCTCTTCACTATGGGGTGGTTTGCTGTTCGGCGCAAGGGGTAGCATCTGATGGCAGTGCTGTGTAGCATGAGTTCGCTACCCACTCATCTTCACTTTCAAGCTTGGAGTACCTGAGAAAAAGCCACGCATGCAGATTATGCATGGAGTCAAATGATAACAGGCTTTTCTGCTTCGAGAGCCTATTACCACTTCCTGTTACATTTTTCTGAGGCATCTGCTAACTTCTGATCACCTTTTTCACTTTGGATCAAAGACCTCGGTAACTAGGCCTTCAAAAAGTATTGAAATTTTCTCATGAAATGTTTCAGAGCCTGTCATAATAGTTAGCTTATTCCTTTCTGCTTACCTCTTGCCAAAACAGCACCTTCATTTTTATGTTATCTTCCAAACACTAAAATGGACTTACAGCAGAAGGATAAAATATACCAACCTCAAGAGAGTGTGTTTGTTATTTATGCAGTGCCCTGGGTTCCACTTCCTGGTTTCACAGAGCTGACTGATGCATTTTAATGTGAGAAACCATTAAACACGAGACTCCGACATGTGGTTGCTGTAGCCATTTGTTTTCGCCAGGCTCTGGCTGTGGCCGTGTTATCTATGATCACGGAGATGACTCACTCAGATTGGTTTTTGTTTCCTGAGACACAAAGTTACCAGTCTCCCTATCCAGCATTTGGTGATTCATTTCAGGAATATGGGTTGTAATTTTACTTTCAGGAGCATTTAAAATTTGTACTTTCACATATAACTGGAAAGAACTGGGAAAGGCAAAGGCACAAAATCACAGCGATAGCCTTTTAGAACTTTGTCAGCCTATGTTGAGAACATTCAGTTTGAGGAAACTTATTACTAATCAATCTGCTTTGTGTTGCTTCCTAGAAACCAGAAATTACTACATTGAAAGTATCCTTCCTAACTGTTTTTGTTAGTTTACAATGTAATCAGAATGCTCATATTACTGATTATATTCAGAGCACGTATTACATATAACAAAGATTGCATTAATACAAAAGATTTAAAAATTGCCTTAAAACTAGTGTGCTTAATGCATTGTTGTTGTTTTTTTTAACACAAAAGGGACAAAGTAAGAAGTATAAAATTATTCCATCCTCCCAGTGAAAATACGTTGGTCAGTAGTTGCTCTGTACCTGAATAGAGATTCATAGAGCAGTACCACCAGCAGAAGTTGCCACAATTGATTCCTTAGAGGGTCATCAGGCTCTAATTTATTGAATATTCATGTGCATTATGGATAATGTTTTTCAGACTTACAGATATAAACATATGACTTGGGGGTCATAAATTCTGTTTCAGTAAGTTTGGAGTGTGGCCTGAGAGCCTGCCTTTCAAACTTCCAGGTAATGCTGATGCCTGTGGTCTATAGATCACACTTTGAGTAGCAAGATTAAATCTGGAATATTAAACATAAACATTATCAGAACCACACTTCCCCAACACATACACACAAAGATTATTTTAATAGATGGTAGAAGGGTCATACTTCGTACTTGGTTAGGCTCTTCAGGGGGGTTATGAGTAGATTTTGACCCAAAATGCAGAGAACAAGCAGGAAAGTAGTCAGAGCAGAAAAGTCAGTAGGAAGTAGACCAACTGCTGTTGAGCTTTGGCTATTTGCCATGCACTGACCTGGACATTTTGTGTACAGTTCCCTTTAATGTAGGTAAGAGCTTTAGCTACACTGAGTAGGCCCTTTGCTTGGAACAATAAGGAGCCTATATCCAAAGTCAGTGTATCTGAGTACAGGCTGTTTTTAAGATGTAGAAGCCAAGTCCCAACCAGCAGCGAGATCTGTGCCTTACTTTGATTTTTTAGCAGCGAGAGTAGCTTGATTGGATGCCACCGTTCTCTCAGGCTCACCTCTGTGGGATCATTGCCTAGGGTAATGGGGTTGGTCGGTGGCCAGGAACAGAGGAAGGCAGCTTTTCTTTCTTGCCCGTCATCTGTGGTTCAGTGGAAGTAGCCTAAACTTAGAGTTAGAAAACCCAGTTTTGGGTTTCATCAACTTACTTCAGGGACAATGCTGTGCTACCCTAAAATGTTCACAGTCACACTGGAGAGATGAACTATAAACAGATTTTTTTTTTTTTTAGAATACTGAATATGATAAAACTGTATACATTTGATTTAAATTGCTTTTGAGAAAATTATTCATGAAGAAAGTGGAAAACTCATCATAAAACTTACCATTCTAGGCAGTGTTTGTGGTTCTAGCCGTGGTAAAGATTGGGCTGTTCTGACTTGGGATAATAGCTGAAAGATGGATGTCTGCACAAGAGGATGGGCGGTGTTTTATTTTTGTATCATTGCTGATGTTAATTTATGAACTTGGAAGAGCTCTAATCAGGTTCTTGGATACTCAGTTTAGTTAAAGAAGTTTTTCAGCTGGTGGGAGTAGCACAGAGGTTGCTATGCTAAAGTGAATTGCACAATGAGAAGATTAGAGGCCCAATGACAGCTTTTTATTTCCTTTTGATTTATGTATACTTACTTGCCATTTCCTTCCTCTCTAATAATTTTTATAAGCATTATTAGTGTTTTTGTTCCTTATCCCACATTTGGGAGTATAAAGTTAAACCTCTGTTGATTTTCTTTGTTGACTTAAATCTTAGAAGTTTCTTACTTGGGATTTCTAAAGTTATGTGTGTGTGCAGTTATGATTGTTGCATCATCTTGGAACAGAAATGGTAATGCTAATCCCAGTGTTTTGTTTGTAAGTTTTTGTTTTTGATCCAGTATATTTTATATCCCTGATGGTATGCTGGGTCCAGATACACAGCCTTTACCCTTTACCATGTGAGCATGATGCCTTCAATTTAAGACTTTATCAGTTCACCCTTCAGTTCAAATACAACAAAGCAGTTACTCATTCTTTAAAAGGGACCCCGACTAGCTCTCTGAGTACAGCTTACTAGTGTCTACTTCTCTGGGCTTTTTAGAGACCAAAATACCTGAGCATTCACCTTTGAGTTCCCTTTCACAAACAAGTTTCAAGTATAAATTGAAGAGCTGTGGGAAACCAAACATGCCCCGGACCTAAGTGACAGCATGAGGTCCTGAACAGAGCAAAGGCCCTGGACTCAAGAGACGGGTCCTGTCCAAGCCCTGCCACTTGCTCACTTGCTGTGATACTTGGACAAGGCTGTTCACCCTCTCTGGACCAGTGTGGTATCTGTGTTTGTAAGGGTATCAACTGAGACAGAGAGCACCTTCTGTTGCTCATAACTGAAGTCTCAGCATCAGATTCATATCTGGGAGAAATCAATCCCCCCACTGCATTTTATTCACTCCTTGGGTGCTTTGAAGAGGTTCTCCCCCCACCACCATCCCTTTTATTGCTTATTTTCACTGCAAATAACTTCAGGATGTTTTTTCCCCAAATCATTCTGTCATTGTTAACTTTAGATGAATTTTCAGAGAAGTCTGCTTTTCTTTTCTCTAAAAAAGATTGAGGTACAAGTAACAATACGATCTTAATTAAACATGTGGCAGTGGAAATCATCCGTTGGGACCTAAGCAGTGGAAATTTTTTTAGTTGAGATATTGAAAAATCTATCCAACAGTTTTTAAAAATTGGAAAACATGTGTTTTATATCTTTTAAAACTATTTTATGGAACATTTTTATTGTGCCAGTCTTTAAAAGGTCCTAAGATACAAAAACTAAGAGGTAAATTAGGCCGTTTAAGCCTGTGCTATTGAGAAATAACATTGACTCCTGTTTTGTTTTCCTGGAAAGTTACATAATTCAAGTATTATCACTTTACTCATTACCCAGGTTATGAAGTTGAAAGAACTTGTTTTCTACAGTATAGAGTTGGGGGTTTTGCAGTAGACAGTAATTGGCTTCAACTTTCACTTCTGATTGTGATTTCAAGGCTGTATCTGTCTATTGGCTCTGTCTTCCAAAAATCCTTATAGATAAGTAGAAGGGAGGAATTGCTTTAGAGAGAGCGAAGTGTGGCAGAGAGCTGTGGAAACACTGCTGGGAAGGGAGACGTGCCCTTCATGCTCTCTACCTTGGCTCTAATCCTCTCTCCCTCTGAATGGCTATGGCATCTGTTACTCAAACCTCTTATTTTACTATTCGTCATTACTGCATCATATAGTAATATATACTCATATACTCAGTGGTTATTCTCTCCAAATAAATTTTAATCTCTTTCCTTGAAGAAGCAGCTATAGGGCTGTTTTTTTGTTCGTTTTTGGTTTTTGGTGCCTTTCTCTGCCTAGCTCAGCTTTGGGCACTGACTGAATTGTTAACCTCAAAATGAAACATCGTGAATTAAGACAGTTTATGTCTTTGCGGATCTCTATATCTTCATAGTACTTAAGGGACTCTAGTCCTACATATTGGAGCCACATTTTGTATCCACACAGGTCATGTAAAAAGGAGGCTTGGCTGGGTTTTGTGTTTTACCTGGCCATTGAGGAGCCTTGTTTTCTAATGCGAGCTCTGACATTTAGTTTTATTTTGACTTCACCTCTCTGACCCTCTGTTTCCTTTTCTGTCAAATTAAGGTATTAGATATTACTTAGGTCCCCTCTGTCCTCATAAGCCTGTGGCCTGAGGCCTTCCTGGACTTTGAATT